GTCTTGAGCTCGCTGTTTTCGATCCCATTTAACTTGCTAAAACCATGCCTCGAGCATACGGCTAAGATTTAAACTGGCGAGCAGTTTGGATGACGCAAGTTCTGGCTAATTTACCCGTTATCCTTTTCGGTCTAGGCGCTTAGGGATGATCCGATCAACGACAACGTTTAGTCAAAGGACTGTATGGTGGAAGTTTCGCGCTTACAATTGTTTGGCGGAAGAAAAAATTTTTTTTTAAATTGAACACCCTTTTTTACCAGCTTTTTATTACACTCGTAACTTTGACAAGTTTGACAAATTTATTTCTAACAGCGGAGTTTTAGATAAATAGGAAAAAGAATAATTGTAAAAAAAGTAAATAGGCTACCGAATACGTACAGAAATAACACAATCAAGTGAAACAAGAAATTACAGWGTCTTGGTATTTGGATACCTTTTAGATAATGATTAATGAATTATATTAGGGTCCTTTCTATGGATATAATCAGAGGCGCTTACAACCATGAGAGGTGGTTAGTATGAGGTGTAGGCACTGTCGAACGTGGTCAATGCCAGGGCCTTGCTCCATTTAAAGTGGTCATCCGAAATTACAAAGGCAGCACTTTCTCCTCAGTCATTTTTAGACCCTAAGTGTTGGTCTGACCGAAGCTTGAAACCATGACCGTCTAGCACGAAATCGAACGATGCTTAACCAACTGAGCGGCAACTGGCTGGCACTWGTTCTTTAAGTTCCCTCCATTAAAGTGAATCGAGTGATGTTCTGATCTTATAGTTTGTTTTCGCCACCTTGTTTATATAAATCTATTGCCCGTGCAAGACTGAAAACATTCTATTGTTCCTGCTCTACAACATGGCTTTTATGAAATATCCCTCTATAGAAGTGGTCACTACCCGACCCCCTGTATCGATTGTTTTACGAATGGTGGTTGTGGGGGAGGGGGGACTTACCACCTTACCCATGACCAAGGCAAACCGCGTTGTTTTTAAGCAGTGGCCACGTCTGTTTTGCGGCGCGAGAAAAAACCTCGAAGCATAGAAAAGAACCATGACCAACAAGGAGCTTTACGTCACACACGTCGACACCACTCTTTTATGATGCTTTACTCTACTGCCATGCCTGAGCAATGTGCGCTTCTTAGATGAAAACGGAGGTAGAGAGTGACCAAGTATATTCAGTTTGCCAGCTACTTTCTTATTGCATTTGTTTTTTAGACTGAGACTAAGATAAAATCCTGATATATTAACCTATTTGCAAATATACTTTTATTCTCCTAAGTGGGCTTAGGTGACTCAAGCTGTCACCACAAACAAAAAGCAAATGTCAGCTTCAGCGTCGCCCTGTGGATTTGTTTGTTTAGTGAAATTTGACTTTATTATTCAGTTAGTAAACGTCTAACAAGAGTAGTACCGTGATACACTGATAAATTGCTTTACTTCTCGCTCAAACAAGAAACCCAAGCCTATAGATTTTTATAAGGAAACGGATATTACTATGATTGCTGCTTAGTGGGTCAGAAAATCAGAAGAACTTGATCCTCTACAAAGTTGTTGACAGGTAAGATATAAGCTGCTTAGCAAAACATTCCAGTGTTGGTKGTTTAGTGTAGCTCAAGCTCCTGAACTAGATGAACCATAAACACCTCTTTACTATGAATAATAAGGTCTCTGTTACTACTATTAATGTAACTCTGTTGTTGAACTTGAGTCACGGTCTCATAAAAGTCACATGACGCTGTTCGACTTTGTCTGTGGTTGAAACGGAAACCTGCCTATAATTCTGTCTTAACCGATTTCAATCTGGATATTCGCTCTCTCATGGAGTATCAAGCTTCCTTTATCCTTTTTGTGATTCCATTATTGCCAACTCAATAAACCCTCCAATAATCACTACCCTTTTACGAGTAGTTCTATGATTTACTTCATTTTCATTTGTCAGCCGTTTTATTGACGGACCTGCTGTAGTCAACAAGCAACCTGCAGTTGCATGCTGGTAAGTGACCCTCGGAAAAAAATTTATGATCCGGCATAAGTCTTCAGTGGATGAGCAAGGCTTTAGGATTTTGGGTTACGTATACAGGTAAACTGATCAATACTCAAAGACTACCCGCTAGGGGAAACGGACCTCAGTTATTAAATGATTTTTTTTTAAATTTGGTTCCGATACGGCCGTATGAAAGGTCATCAGTGGAATAAGAAGTGTTCTTTCCATTTCAGGCATTGCTATCGCAGCTCTAAGCTTAAAATCTTCTGTGGAATTGAAAAAGATATGGAAAAGTCATTCATGGAATAATGTTTTGTGACAAGACTTGCACAGCGAGTTCCATATAATTTGTTGTCTTACAGACATATAAGCATCACCATTTCAGTTGTTTATAACGATAGTACTAAGGATTCTTCATGTATACTTCCGCTGTACTCTACGTCTGTACTGTACACGTATAATCTACTATGTGTATAGCCATTAACAGTATTTGCTTGAGCATCTCAAACTAGTGCATATGGTGTTTGGTTTTAGCAGYAAGTCTACATGTACCCTCTCAAGAGGCTCTAGCGAAGAATTTGACAGTATTGCGTAGCATGGATTGAGCACCGCTTCAACTCACATGCTGCATGCATTGTTTTGTGCAAAAAAGAGGTTTTATGGCTGTTTTGTCTAAAGTGGGCTTCCTGTGGTTCTGATCCTAACTTGTTTTCGTTCTCATATTTTATCCATTCATTYATTTCCCAGTTCCCTAAAATATTATGGAGAGCGAAGAGGAAATGACGTTTCTTGAGGTAGAAGCCGMTGTACAAAAAGAATTCGAAAAGAGTCTGCCAGACGGATGGATTCTAAGCGAATCCAGAAAACATGGAAGAATGTATTACTTCAATAGAGAGACTGGGGAAAGTCGATGGGTGCATCCATTGATTCCTGATGAACAAACACAAGTAAGTCAGAGATAGAAACACAGACAGATGGACAGGCAGGCAGACATAAAGAAAGACAGACAGACAGAACGATTGAATGGATGGATAAAGGAATGAGAGAATGAAAGAGGGAAAGACAGACAGACCAACATTCTTTTCTGTCACATTTGTTGCGATGTTCTTTGAAATGATGAAATGACAAGCTAACTGTGCGATGAGCAAGGTCTAACAGCGATGAAATCATATACATTATTATGTGAAGGAAAACGAWTGACTCAGATGCAATATTATAATATCAACATTCAATAAATAATGGCGCGCTTTAGAAACTCGACGTCGTTCTCATGATCGCGAACTAAATTCTTGATTACCTCATACAGCTCGTACGCATTTCGCCCTCCAAACCAACAACTTACTTCATCTACAGTTTGAAACAAAGTTTTTCACTCTCCCGAATCAAAACAGGTTAAAAAGCTAACAACAACAAGTGCTTGAAAATAAATGTTTTGACACGCGCTCACACGGTCACACTTWTTCACGTCACGCAAAGATTAGCACGTGATGTCACGGTAGATGAGCTCACCGTTCAGTTCAACTGAAAACATTTCGCGCTCAAGTTTTTGAGATAAAAACAATTGGTTTTAGTTTAAACGTGGCTTAAGAAGACTAAATGGAAGTGATAGATACATACTGAAGGTTGCTGAAAGCCTTTACAAGATGCCAGGCGAGGTGAGATAAGGTTATATTGTGAAGAAGAATCGCTTATTCAAGCGAGTGGGTTTTGGAATAATGTCGTAATGGCCTTTCGATTTTGTTTTGACTTCACTTGAACAACACTCCTTATTTTGTACTTAAAAACTCGCCGTTGCTTGGAAAGTCTCTCATTCTTGACTAACTAGGTTACGGTTTACCAAAAAGACGTGAAATTACGCTAAATATTGAAGTTAAACACTCAAGAAACAGGTACAAGACTAACCTAGCTAAATACAAGTACTTGAACAACCTTCAATCAAATGATCAAACCYCTTCTTTATAGAATCTTAAAAATTTCTAAGCGTACATTTAACCTATTTTTTCTATACTTTACAAGCTTATACTTTAATTATTTTTCTATTGATTTAACAAGGAAAAGGGGTGACTAATTTCCATTTATTCAAGGGGTGTAAAGGAGTTGTAAATTTTTTTGTAGTGATAAATAAACTTAATAGCTCACACCATAAATATGACCTATTAATTCAATCTTTTTTATTCAGGTTCAGGACACTGCTCCAGAGCCTGGTTTTACTGTCAGTGATTTTATAATGCCAACTAGGGACAAGCCTATGATTCATCCAGCATCTGATGCAATATTATGTGAAAATGTAAGTCATTGATTCAATCAATATATATTAAAAGGGCAATCAAGAAGAGTGTTGAATTGGATAATAAATTATTACCTTCTTTGATATATTTTATACATGCTATGGTATCAAGATATAAGAAGTTCTTAATCGCCTTTAATTTTAATTTCAGTTAATTTTAGGATTTTTTTGTTGTAAATTTGTGCAATTTTTGTTCAGTGGCCTTTTGAATCTTWGTCTTAATTTTTACAACTGTTTACYTGCCATTTAAAGAATATTAAAAAGACAAGATCGAAAAACCTACACACAACAATAAAATTTTGTTATCATAAATAAAAACCATCGATGTTAAGTGAGCAAGATTTAATATCATTAGATACTTGGCTGTTCCTCGGCATCTAAAAATGAAGTCATTTCTCTGAGAGTTGGTTTTGAAAGCAGTCTTGTTTTTGGATTTTCAAGCTGTGAATCACTGACAAAAGACTTTGAAATCAAGGTGTGATGTCATTATTTTCAATAAGTTRATGGTGACACTATTCATTCTCTCTYGCCACCTGGAAAGTTAGTTTGTGTTTCATCCACAAATTCACAGCACTTTTGATACTGTTGAGAGAACYGAGTTATATACTTCCATTGTGCGAAACAAAGCTGACTTCAAAACATTACATAATATGATGGGTATTTTTTGTTAAATATGTCAACCATATG